ATACATTTTTGGCATTTATATGATACCATTTGAATTGTTATTTACTGTATATATATATATATATATATACATACATATATATATATATAATATATATACATATATATATATGTAAATACATTTAAATAATAAGAAAAAGGGCCAAGCAGTCAGCTTTCAAGCAACATGATATAATTATTGTTGTTGTGCCCTTTAGTAACAAAATCCTATCCACATTTTTAATTGAAATATGCTTCTGTACGTTTGTAACTCACATTAAATTTTGACACTGGCATCCATATAAGCTGCTGCGAAAGAATCAATAGAACGACAGCACAAAGTAGGCATAAAAATATACCATGGTGGTTCGGAAAAGTTAATTTTGTTGCATTTTCTATGGAATCTCAGATAAAGTCTAAAGCAATTGCCAAGCCCAAACTGATCACGTCAGTAGGATAATTACTGAATTGTGTTGGGGTATTTGCTTCAGTAGTTATAAGGTGGCAATACTGTCAACCTTGACCTTTAGTTAGGACATTTGTCCCATTTGGTCTCCATTGTTACTTTTTTCGGCCTTAACCATTGGAGAAAAGTACGTACGTTTTACCTACAGTACTGTATAATCATGATTTTTAAATAACGGCCCAGGTGGATTATGCTTTGAAAATAATTTTTCCAACAAAACTTGAAAAATAAAAAAAAAAAACAAATTTGTTGTAGTTTTACCGGACTCGGTTGTTTTATGAGACCTCTCGCTGATTTGATTAGGAAATTGCAAGTTTTTGGCGGTTTTAAGCTTGTTTCTCTCGCTCTCACTCGCAAACCGTTTTGTTGTTTGAAACGGCCCAAACAGATACTTGGAGCAAATTTTATTAGCACGAGACTGATAAAAAAGTGAACATGATTACTTGAGTAGTTTTACTTATAAAGCAAAATATAGTCCTTCCAAAAATCTTTTGGCTTTACAGGTCCCTAAAATGACCTCATCTGTGACCGGTATATGCCAATAGGAAACATAGTAACATAAGAAGTCGGTGGTATGTCAGTTTACGCATAGCCTTCATACTCCTAATATTTTTTATTATAATATAAATGCCAAGCATATATCTGTAAATAAAGGTTTAATTAATAGAATTACATTAAATATTTTTTGAATTATCAATTTTGTTAGTACACCCGTACACGACAATGGAACAAACCAACCAACACAGCGCAGACATTTGACCTCAAATGTGCTCGCTGACGCGAAAGTAAAGAAAAACTGGACAAAACCTCTCCATTGTCATAAGATAATAATGCACTTTTTTATATAACACATTTTATAAGAACACTGAGGCTAAAATTACTTAAATATTAAGAACAAAATAAGAACAAATTGAGATAAAATGTCAAATGAGATTTTTTTTAAACTAGAAAAACCAACAAATATCTGTATCTTATGTGTAGTTGCGACTATGCAAAGCAGTAGGCCTACAGTAGGTATACTGTATTTTTGGGCCATTTTTACCGGAGCCTTTTTTCTGGGCCTATTTTTCCGGGGCAACATTTACTTACCTTCTAGTACAGTGTATAATGTCTGTCTCTTATACACATCTAGATGTGTATAAGAGACAGATTCAACAATATATTATCACAAGATTGCAAT